ATCAGGTAACTGCTGTTCTTGTAGCTCTTTCCACACTCCAGGCATTTATAGGGTTTTTCTCCTGTGTGGATCCGTTTATGAGAAGTGAGAGAACTCTTTACACTGAAGCTCTTTTCACACTCCGTGCATTTATAGAGTTTTTCTCCTGTGTGGATCCGTTTATGAGAAGTGAGAGAACTCTTTACATTGGAGCTCTTTTCACACTCCGTGCATTTATAGAGTTTTTCTCCACTATGTATCCTTTTATGGAATATAAGGGAACCATTCACACTGAATCTTTTCCCACAATCCACACATTTATAAGGTTTTTCCCTTGAATGATTCCTTCTATGGTACATCAGGCAAATACTACTTTTGAAGCTCTTCCTGCATTCTATGCATTGGAAGAGTTTTCCTCCAGTATGTATCCTTTTATGGGAAGCAGGGGAATCCTTCCTGCTGAACCTTTTTCCACAATCCACACATTTATGGATATTTTTATTAGAAGTTAAATTACCTCTTCTCCCAACGCTTTTTCCACACTCCACACTGTTGTAGGGCTTCTCCCTTGCCTGTTTCATTTTATGTGACGTAAGATTATTACTGCTGGAGCTTTTTCCAGTGTTGCCGTGGTTACTAACAACGGGGTTTGCTTTTAATCTTTTTCTACTTTGACATTTCCCTGTATTTTCTTTGGAATCACATTGGGTCAGGAAATGATCCATTTCCACACATTCAAGAATAGATTTTTCTCTCCGATTGTGCTTCTTTTCAGGTTTCCTCCTTCCCCACTTTGTAGATGTCTCCCCAGGAATTTCAGCTTTGATTATTTGCAATGGCACTAAATTTGGCTCTTGGACAATTTCGTTCTTCTGCACATCAAATGCTTGTGGGGGAAGAAAAATAAATTAGAATAATCTAAAACCTCCACTTTGGTGTCCCTATGCATTAATTTATCTACTACTGGACATATGCGGAGAAAGGAATGAGGGAAATGACAGCATGAATATTAGTTATTAACTTAAAAGACTAGGATGGCTGCTCATCTAACCGGCATTCTTGGCAGTTAAAATTTTAAAGCAAAAACTGGTCTTGACATCAGGACGAAGCATACAAATTGTCTCAACTGTTGACCCACCCAACTAGCATTCAATAAGACAACATATGTCATTGCAACCCAAAGCAAGACAAAATTTGTTGCTGAGTAAGAAAACTGCAACAGGCAAAAACATCCTCTCCCTGATCATCTTCCCAATAACTCTGCAGTAATGACCCAGGGCCCCAGGATGATCACAAGACTGAATGTCAACCCTTCCTGGTTACCACACTGATCTCTTTCTGCTAAATGAAACTGTGCTACTTAGAAGACCGTGAAGGGGGAGTGGAATTAATGTAAGAGGAAAAAAGAAGAGATGAAATCATTTTTAACTAGTTATGCATAGAGGAACCCTTACCTAAAGAGGTCACCATCCTAGACGTTTCCAACATGACTTCTTCATGCAGGGCTTTCTGGCTGGGATCAAGGAGCAACCACTCTTCACTGTTGAAATGGATGGCCACGTCTCCAAGGGATACAGGACCCTAAAGAAGGAAGAATCCCTGTGAATATACTCGATAGAATTTGCAAGATCTCCTTCAATCTGCAAATCCTAAAAGACAAATGTCTATGAAGATTCTCAGTCATCCATAGTCATGGTTGTCCCAAAGGTGCTTTTTTCAAGAGTTAATAGGACTTTCTGCTTTTTCTTTGAAGACATTTCGCTTCTCATTCAAGAAGTTTCTTCAACAACCAGAAAGTCTAGCTGCCTCTTGAAAAAAAGCATCTTTGGGACTAAAAGCCAAAGTAAAAATCTTTAATTGGACATTTCCCTAGGTGGACTCAACAGAATAGAATATAATTCTTTATTGACTAAGTTTGATTGGACACACAAGAAATTTGTCTTGGTGCAAATGCTCTGAGTGTACATAAAAGATACATTTGTCAAGAGTCAAGAACATCAGGCACAATACTTAATAATAGTCATAGGGTACAATAAGCAATCAAATCATACTAGGAAACAGTTAATAAAAATTGTAAGGATACAAGCGAAAAAGTTACAGTCATACGGTCATAAGTGGGAGGGGATGGGTGATAAGGAGCGATGAGAAGATTAATAGTAATAGTAATGCAGACTTGGTAAATAGTTGGACAGTGTTGAGGGAATTATTTGTTTAGCAGAGTGATGGCATTTGGGAAAAAACTGTCCTTGTGTCTAATTGTTCGTTGTGCTCTATAGCGTCATTTTGAGGGTAGGAGTTGAAACAGTTTATGTCCAGGATGTGAGGGAACTATAAATATTTTCACAGCCCTCTTTTTGACTTGTGCAGGTTACAGGTTGTCAATTGAAGGCAGGTTGGTAGTGATTGTTTTTTCTGCAGTCCTAATTATGTAACACATTATGTCCCCATAGTAAAGGTCAGGGTTAGGGTTTATCTAACTAACTCTAACCCTGTAATTCATAGTAGCCTCTAAAAACCCGTGGTGGAATCGACTCACCTTGTGAACCCCCAGACCCCGTGGTCATAGGAGGCCAAACCCAGTATGAGGTACAGTGAATCATCAATTCGAGGTGGCATGGGAGACAACTCCAATATTTAATCAAATGGAAAGGCTACTGCTTATCAAAAGCATCTTGGGTAAAGAGTAGGAATGTCCAAGCTGATCGCCTTGTGACGAGGTTCCATGCAGAAAGCCCACCAAACCTGGGGAGGGTTCGCAACCCTAAGTTCTATACCTGCAATAAATTTGTTTTCTTTTTGTGTTGTACAGGTTACCTTCAAGAAGTGAGGGGAGCTGAATGTCAACTAAAAAGATACTCCTTTGGCCTTTTTAGCTGCCAGCAGAAAGGGAGTGGGAAAAACAGTGCATTCCTCAAGTGCCTCTGATAATCGCTTGGGCAGCCCAAAGTTGTCAGCGTACAAGAATATTATTGGAGAGCATGATTGATGACTCTTGGCTATGGATGTGCCCCATTGGAGAATATACATCCAGGGGGCGGTGGGAAGACCAGGGTCAAGGGGGAAATGAATGATGTATTTTAGTGTTGGTTGCATCCCGCTAACGCCAACATTGCCACTTCTAATAAATTTTTTTTTTTTTTTACTCTGAGAGATGCGGCTAGAGACTTATGGTTTGAATGGGGATGGATCTGTTGGAGCCCTGACACATTATACGATAAAAAGGACAGAATTCACAGTGTACTGTGAATACTTTAATAAAGTAATACTATAACATATAAAGATACTTTAAATGTGGAAGGGGAATTTAAACAAACAAGAGTTACAGAATTAAGGTATGGATTTATTATGGTGGCCGCATATACAAATAAAATCGACATATGAGAAAGATATTAAGGATTATGGCTTCTATAAAGAGCCTACAATATTTGACCAAATAATGTTAGGAGTAGATGAAAAGTTGATAAAGAAAATATACAATTTCTTGTTAAGTTTAAAAATGGAAGATGAACAATGATAGTGTCATGACCCAGTCGGAATCTGAATCTGAGGAGGAAGACGAAGAACTGACAGGGAGCGGTAGTGTGGCTCCATTGGCTGTGGAGGAAACTGTGGGGAAGGCAGTCAGGCTGGGCAGAGCAGGGCAAAGGTAGAAAAAGGGAGAGGGAGTTCAGATGAAGATCCAGGCCCTCTTCATCGTAGGGCACACAGGGAAGAACGGAGAAGAGAGCAACATGGGGTGCGTGGGAGGAAAGGGTCCTGATTCCCTTCACTAGGCATACCTGGGGAGAGTTTAAAGGAGAGGCAGCTAAGAGCTGCATTTTCAGGAACAAACTTTAGTTTATGTTGTATTGACTGTGGTTATCTGCGTTCCTGGCATCCTCCCAACTGGGTTGATTTACTGCCGTGCTATTTCCCTTCTGAAACTCCTTATATTGCCCTGCTGGATTAATTACCTCATCTTGCCTTGATTGGATTTATAATTAAAGATTTCTGTTGACAACGTTTTGGACTTGAATCTCTGCAGTCAAAGGCTGTTCCTGGGAGAGTTTTTCACCAGACCAGAAGATAACCAGGACTTGGGGGCAAACTTTGAAGCTAATAAAGGGATTCCTACTTATTATCTGCCTGTGTTTCCTTTGTGCCACACCCTGGGTCATCACAGATAGTATGGGCAAAAAACTTTGGCTGTACTATAGATCTAGACAAATGGCAAAAACTTTGGGGAAAAAATTGTAAGTTGACAATGGCATCTACATATAAGGAAAAATTATATGAAACCAGCAAGATTAGCAAAGAAGATTAAAAGCATGTCTGACCGATGTTGGAAATGTAACCAGACACTGGGGACGTATTATCATATGTGGTAGACATGTGTATAAGCAAAAAAATATTGGACAAAACTACATACATGTTTGGACTTAAACCAACACATGAGTTTAAGCCAGAAATATTTTTGCTAGGAATAATACCTGAAAAGTATGACAAAGGGAATGTATATTTAATATTACATGTCTTGACACCAGCAAGAAGTGTATTTGCACAGTACTGGAAACATGAGGAAACTCCTATGAACGAATGATATATTATTCCCCATAGCAAGAAGCTGAGATGGTGAAAATGATTATTTTATCCAAATAAAAGAGATTATATTTAATTTTGTCTCTAGCTTGAAATTGCTTCCGGATTTTCTGCGTACAATGAGAAAAAAAAATGAAATTTTGATTCTGTTTTTGTAAACTAAGCAGGCTTATTGTTATAGAAATAATTTGTACATACTGTTTTGTAAAAGCAAAACATTGTGGTTGGAATGTTATTACCTTTGTACCAAAGAGAGTTGGAAGTTGATGCCTCCCCCATTACACTATATCCCCTCTTTCCCCCTTCCTCTCTTCTTATTTTTCCATGGTTTTCTTCTTTGTGTTTTATACTTCAATAAATAAAAAAGTTACATTGAAAAAAACCCACTCATGAACATTCATGAAAACATTAGGAAAGCACTTCCACGCATCAAGATACAGAAAGCAGTTTCTACTTCTCCTGTTTTTATCCCTTTCCCCAATGATAAGAAAACAAGATGATGCTTACAATAAAGTAGATTTAGCTGGACTATTCATCTCCTTTTTTTGCTTTAATTTAATCATACAATCACTAAGGAAT